TCAAAGTAATTGTTTTTGCTCAATATCTCGGCCATTTTCAACTTTACAACAAAAATGGGAAGGACTGAAGTTGTTGAAAATGCGATTTCCTACAACTTTTTTTTTACAAATTTTATCGTGCGATCGATATTTTTCAAGATAAGGGGGAAAATAGTGACAAAGTATAATTATTGAATTATCTCGTTTGTTATTGACATTACGACATAAATGTACATAAACAAAGTTGGAAAGAATTATATTTTCTACAATTTTGATCTCTTTAATTTTTTCGCTATAACCAATATTTAAGGTCCTACGCTTGCAGTAAAGACGCGAGCGTAGGACCTTGCGGGAGTTGGTTTCAAAGGAATTGTTTTTGCTCAATATCTCGGCCATTTTCAACTTTACAACTAAAATCGTAAGGATTTAAGTTGTTGCAAATGAGATTTCCTACAACTTCTTTTCTTACAAATTTTATCGTGCGATCGATATTTTTCAAGTTAAGGGGGAAAATAGTGACAAAGTATAATTATTGAATTATCTGGTTTGTTATTGACTTTGCGACATAAATTTACATAAACAAAGTTGGAAAGAATTATATTTTCTACAAATTTGATCTCTTTGATTTTTTCGCTACTGCCAACATTTAAGATCCTACGCTTGCGGTAAAGGCGCAGTAATATGAAAATAGTTTTGACAAACGTTTTTTTTACGTGGTATCCCCAATAGGCCTAATCTACGTGTCATTGCTTGCAAGATAGTTGCAACTTCTGCCGTCTTCCTCTTTATAAAAGTTTCTTACAAACGTTAAAGGTGTAAGCCATGTTTTTTTTAAAATTTATTTTTTCTTATAAAGTTTGGATCATTCTTGTTCATGACCAGCTGCCGGTGACGTCAGGCCTATGGAATGTTGATCCCTTGAATTTAGTTAGGCTTGCCATAGGCGTAGGACCTTAAATGTTGGTAGTAGCGAAAAAATCAAAGGGATCAAAATTGTAGAAAATATAACTCTTTCCAACTTTGTTTGTGTATATTTATGTCGTAAAGTCAATAAGAAACGAGATAATTCAATAATTATACTTTCTCACTATTTTCCCCCTTAACTTGAAAAATATCGATCGCAGGATAAAATTTGTAAAAAATGAAGTTGTAGAAAATCACATTTGCAACAACTTAAGTCCTTACCATTTTTGTTGTAAAGTTGAAAATGGCCGAGATATTGAGCAAAAACGATTTTTCCTTAAATTCAAGATGGCGGCTGATGCAGGGGTGGAATTCAGTCGCGATTCTGAATGTACACTACTATTGACCCCCCCTAAAAGTTAGAACAATAAAATTGTGGTCCCTAATTTTTTCCCGGTTAAGCCCTTTTTATGTCTAACCCGACTGGACTACTCAGGATTTTTCATAACCTCAAAAAACCGATATTCTGAACAATTAAACCATATAACCTTAAGGCCGGTGTCCCATGCATCCGAATTCCGATGATACGAAGGTCCGAAACTTTTACCGCTCATTTTCATCCGAAATTTTTAGTATTCATACGACGTCGGAAAAAGTAGAAATAATTTTAACTTTTGTCCGAAATCATGTTTTTTAACCTCACTTTTTAAGTTTTTAACATACTGTGATTGTTGTTTGGTATTATATTTACAGTCAAATAAATGTTATATTATCATTTCGAGTGTAGAAAACGTAATACTACGTATATTTTCTAAGATATATAGCTATGGTTGTCATTTAAAAATGTTTCACCTTCATCTTGTAATAAATTCCATGGTTCTAAAGTTGATTTCTATGAGATTAATTTCGGATACATGTGAATTATACTATTATCATTCGTATGAATTAAAATATTTTCCGATATTGTACATCGAAATTCGGATGTACGGGACACCGGCCTAAGACTCAAGCTTCCAATGCTAAATCCAATTAACCAAATCCCATAAACATTTAACCCAATGATATCCCAACCTAATAAGGCCATGAACCCAAACCCCAATAACCCTATAACCCCATAACCAAGGGAATAAATCATAGACAATTTGTATTATTGCAAAACATCACATAGCTGAGGACTCTTTGAAAACCCTAGTACTCAAACCCAAAATGCATCCTATATATTGATCTAGTCATTTCACATGACCGGTCTTTTCATGTAGTCATTCTAGTAATACAATTTTTTGGGTTATCTATTATTATTGGATTTTCATTTCATTTAATCTAATCAAGAGAGATTATTAACATTAATCATTCATTTATTTATTTTAGTTTTTTTGATTAATTTATAGTACGGACTATCCTACAAATTATTTTTTTTTAACGCTCTTATAATATGATGTACGAAATCCGATCGCACAGCCACCTCGTGTTGTACATGGGGTAATGCTAATGCCGACGGTCCTACGAATTAAAGTTATACAAAAAACTAGATCGACTGTAACATTCGGTTCTTTGGTGAATGGGATCAAAGTACAAGGTAATGAAGTTGTGGTTAGGGAATTGTGGGGTTATGAATTGTAGGGTCATGAGGGTTTTGGGATTTGAGTGCATATGTTCTTAAGAAATTCTCAACCATGTTAACGTTTAGCCGTAATAATGAACAGATAAACTCCATTTACAGGATAAATAAATTACAAACAATATTAAAGATACAAACAATATTATATAACAGGAACAATACGTTTTTTTTTAATGTAACACATTCAGAGAGTGTAGACTCTCTGAATGTGTTACATTAAAAAAAACGAACTAAAAACAAAAAACGAAAAAAAGTTATATCAAAATAGTTACACGTCCTTACTAAATCTCAGATCTATAGCTCTAATTACTTGATTGAACATTAATATCACATAAATTTGATAACATATTAAAATTATGACACATAATATGCACTGGAGACATCGTAAGACAACTAGACCTTGCCTAGCACTGAAAAATGTGCGATTTCCACGAGCATTTGCGCGCGGAACATGGAAATAAAACTAACACAACAAAGCCGGGCACTTTAATTTATTATGGATTAAATTAAATAAAATTTTGATACTAGATAGAACTCTACGAAACTGCAGAGAAGCAAAATTGAATCTATTAAGTAAAATAGTATGATTATAACCTCTTTCAGGATAAATGCCGTCTACTTTAAGTGATGAAAAATTTAAAAATCTTCTTTGGATATTTTCAAGTGAAAGCTTTAGGTAGTCATAGCGCGGATACCACACTATTGAACAGTATTCCAGTTTTAGCTCTTACGTAAGAATTATACTCTTCAAGGCAGTTTCACTAAAAAATAAGAATGATAATACATCCTGCCCAGTCGCGGCGCATGAACATTGATTGAATGTGTTCTGCTTAGGGTTGTCACATACACCTACCAAATGCATACATAAAAACGGCAGCCGCCGGCGCACAGTGGGACGAAACGCCACTGTCGCATTCAAATTACTCTACACCCCACATAGTTCAACTGTTTCGGGTGAATTTTTTTTTTCAAAATGTTCGTCTTGAATGTCCCTATCGATCTGTCTTTTGGGATTTTTGATTTCGGTCTTCATTTTTTTGAAAATTGAGTCCAAAATTCGATTTATATGAAAAAAACCTGATTTTCGGCGCAAATGTGGTCCTACATGGCGCAACTTGATGTTTTTCGAAATTTTTTTCAGCTGAAAATCTTCGTTTTGATAAATACTACAAAACTGTCTGCGTCAAAGTCGGGAGAAAAATTTTTCATATTCGCAAAAACGGTCATAATGTTCCAAAAATTTTCGTGGCGATTTTTTAATTTGAAATTTCGCAACCTGGAGAAAAATTAGATGAACCAAAAGTTGTTTAGAATCACTCGAGGAATACTCAAAAAAATTTTCCAGAATTTTTGATATTTCAAAATTTTTGGATTTGGACATTTTTCTCCCGACTTTCACGCAAACAGTTTTGTAGTATTTATCAAAACGAAGATTTTCAGCTGAAAAAAATTTCGAAAAACATCAACTTGCGCCATGGAGGACCACATTTCCGCCGAAAATCAGTTTGTTTCATAAAAATCGAATTTTGGAGTCAATTTTCAAAACATGAAGACCGAAATAAAAAATCCCAAAATAGGGATCGATAAGGACATTCAAGACGAACATTTTGACTTCACCCGAAACACTTGAACTATGTGGGGTGTAATTTGAATGCGACGGTAGCGTTTCGTCCCACTGTGCGGCGCCACTTCAAGGACGCAGAGTGGGAAATTACATATTCGCCGATCTTTCCAATATTTCCCGGCGGGCTCCGCAGAGTCGCGATTGCCACCAGAATCATCTCAGACGCACTTACAACGATACTGTCACGCATGCGACAGAGCCCTGCACCCCTCCAACAGCGCAGTAAAATTAACCTATTTTTCGAAAATTCTCCCGCCACGACAAGGAAGCCCTGATTTCCGCTAACATACCGTAGACGTCCTCCCTAGACGATGCAAATATGCATGCGACACAGCACTGTACTCATACGATTATCCCGCAGGAAGACCATAATTTCTTACATCTTTCCAAAATTTACCCTCCAAACCACCCAAATGAAATTACCGCCAAAAATCCTCCATTCCCGACGACGACGCATGCCTGATCTTTCCTAATAAGGACAGAGAGCACCAAAACTTTCGCCCTTTTCGAAAATTGGCAAAAATTAAATCATCCTAGAATTCTCACTCGCGCCCCTAAACCTTAGGGCCGGTATACTAACCCCAAAATTTTCAACTCTTAAAAGACGTCCGGATTTGCATCCAAACGTTAACTCTTGTTTTCAGCAGTTCAGTGACCAGGGACGGTGACCTGGCCAGAGTGTGTATTCAACTTGAACAAAAGTTTAAAAAATTGTGTTGAAATTAAAGACACATTTTTATAAAACGAATAAAAAGGTTTTATTTTGTTGTACTATTTTCAATGTTCAATTACAAGATAAGGTTGACATTTTTAATATCTTAAGCTCCTTAAACTTCAAACAACAAAATTTTTATTTAGAATATAAAATTACATAATAAATGACATTATAACAATAAATTAGATTTATCTGAAATATAAAAAAATAGTAATTATGGCATTAAGTATTAAAATATTGCTGTGTAAGTAGCACATAATCCTAATAATACACAGAAAGTAACAAACACTTCCACTTTCTGTTTGAAATCGTAAAAATTTAAAAATAATTAATCATCCGTACTTAAAATATTGTCGATGTAACAGTCAAAGTTGAGTGGTAATCACAGATTTTCTAATTATCGTTGTTTCTGTAGTGTTTAACTTAGAAACTGGAGATGATACCACTTCTGAAGAAACCAGCCAAGGCGACAGTTTGCTCAGATTCGGGCTAACTGGAGTAGAAATTTTCCTCTCAATCGAATCTTCGTTGACATTCTTTATCTGAAATTAATAATTACAAGAATTTTTATATTAATATTTATAACTGAAAAATATATATTATATAATGAATGGAATAACATATTCGGTAATAAATATTTTTACATAAAAGTTACCACTGATAAAAATTACATAAATAAATTACAGAAACAAATAAGGATATTAATAACTTTATAAGTCTAGCCTCAAAAGTTATAAATATTCAAGCTTGTGAAACACTGAATATACACAAATTTCTCAAATTTAGCACAAAAGTACTTTTGAATTTGAATGAAAAATGCAAAAAATCCAAAATTAGAAATCTTGATTAAACACAAATCAATTTGTATTTTAATTATCCTTTCTTCATTTCAGAAACATAATCTAAAATTAACATCAATATAAAAAAAAACAAAGACATCACATTATCTGTATCTACTGGTTGTTTGGGTCAAAATTATCAATTATGCATTTAAATCTTCAGCAAAATTATAGAGTTCTCGAAAGATTAAATTATCAATTCAAATGATCATTCATCTATAATTTTTATTATGTTAATTAAAGATGGATATGGCAACATACAGGATCATCGTATGTTGTATTTAATGGTACGTAAATAATATTGTACACCAATTCAGAAATGGCAGACATCCATTTTATACAGGGTGTTAGAAGTTTGACTGCCTTAATTTTAACAGACGATAGAATACGTTAAAGTAAACAAAAAAAAAACATATATGACATGGGTCTTAAACTCAACCATTTCCGAGAAAAAAATTTGTCTCCAACTTGATGTACAAAAGTTCTATTAATTAAGGAATATTGACATAACTGTGTGCCTAGAATATCATAAAATACAAAGTTTATTACTTTTTTGAACTTCTTTATGCTTAATTCTAAAAAATAATTAGCGTAGTAATAAATTTCAAATTCGATAAAATTCATATCGAGCAATGTGATAACACTGATAACGACGGGGCGCACAGTGGTCGGAAATCCGAAAAAGCTGGACAAAAGTCCAAAAAGGCTTGTATCATCACCAAAAGTGGGGAATCTATGTTTTTCAGGTCGCTAGAGCCGAATTTGCAGTCAAAAATCTCAAATTCAAGATGGCCGATACAAAATGGCCGATATATCACGTTAATTTATTGAATCTAATTGAAATTTCGAGTGCCTCTGGTATTGAGGTTGTGTAAAACGTATGTAAGGTCGGACTTTGAGGTGTTTGAGGTAATTAATTATTATTAATAAAGTACGAAATGTAAATATTTGCGATATAAGACATTATTTGGATTGAATTCATTTCGAACTAAATAATTTCTATATACTATTGGAGCTTATTCTTGTTATAAAGCTTATTCTAATTATTTAGCTAATTCTAATACACATGAGTCATTCGCATCATCATCACCTGTCACATAACCGTCAGAGCATGAAAATATCACCATAGCTTCCGTTGAAAAGCTTTTCACATTTTCATCTATCTTGCACCTAAAATGATGATTTGCGTTTCTAAATTCTCTTGGAACTTTCCTTTCAAAAATCGAAAAATTTATTTTTTTATTCACGTAATTTTACTGGTGCCTGATCCTGTCGAAAATGATAAATTATGAATTGAAAGATCATAGAAAATAAGTTCATCTATAATTTTGTTCATTTTATTTTCGTATTCTTCTCAGAAAACACTTTCATTTGTTACCCATATCACGGGGGTGCATAAAAAATAACTGGTCCGCCATTTTTGGATATTCGATATAGAATGACGTCACTTAGCTAACCATGCATTGTCATCCAAATTAAACGTGCATGCAAAATTTCAGCTCAATCGGTTGGGGAAACTGTTTTAAAATTCAGTTGCAAAATGTGACCCATACTAACAAGGCAAGTTAAATAAAAGCTTGTAAAAATATGATAAATGGCACACGAAAAAGGTGCATGATCATAAAAAAAAAAACAATTTGAATTAGAAACGCTCATTTGGAACGCGAAAAGACACTAAAACGCTAGGTATTGTATAACTAAGGCCTCTTACAATAGTAAATCGGCCGTGCACGGAGGCACAAAAAATGACTCAGAACCCCCATCCGGAAAAATCCGGTGGTTTTCTTTTTTGATATATGAAATTGACACTCCTGTCCGCATTTTCCAACTTTTAATAGTGCAGGATCTCTTGGGATCACAACTATTTCGATAATTTACGATTGATGTGATTTGAAATCGATGGAAATTGCAAAAAGTTTTTGTTAAAGCAATAAAAACATGCAACTTTCGAAAAATGAGGTTCTACAAGAACAAATATATTCTACTTAACTCCAGGAACACCTTCTCTATTGCACACAACGATTCGTACTCTAGTAAAAATTTGCACGTATTTTCAATTCACCGCTTTTCGAGGGGTCAGTGGCAAGTGAAATATGCTAATGTGTTGCAGCATACTTCCGATAGTTGCTGTGGTGTATACACATGGTCCAGCTCTCTGTCACTTTAAAGAACTACGCAGTGACTCCTTCTCTAGAATAATCTGAAGTATTAACGCAAACCAACGACTTTGAAATTTCGACTTTTGTCCAGCTTTTTCGGAATTCCGACCACTGTGCGGCGCCAGCAGTTTATTAACACGAGGTATTAAGGTGTCCAGCAACCATCAATACGCAACTCAGGTTGGTATCTAGATTCGACAGTGTCGAAGTGTTTTTTGCAAACCACTATTTCCTTTTCTTGGGGTGTTTTCTAGCGAGTGCGCGAAAATTGGATTTGAAGGTGTCATGCTTGCATCGAAAATGGTGGTGTACATTTTGAGCATATGTTGTAGATTGTTTTGTACTTGTGTGTTTAAAAATGACTGATTTTGCTTTTTGGTAAGTACCTAAATTATTTTTAATATGTATGATTATTTGGACGACGTGAATTTTTCGGTACTCTAATTACATATTTTTCAAATACATAATTTGATTAAAAGTTAAGTTCCTATTTTAAGAGATTCATAATTACTAAAATTAGAGCTAAAATTTATGCACAACACTATCCTCGTACTACAAAATTGATACATTTTATTTTAATTATTTAAAAACTGGAAAACAATAGGGTTGTTGACTATAAAAACAAACCATATACAATTTGTTGTTGATACAAAGATTTTATATAAAAGAACCTGCCTGTATAGTAAAATTTTAAATATATGACAAATTAGTGGTACAAATCATTTATGAATTTTTGTGTTACTTAAAAACTAGTCTGACGTCATAAGGGCAATTGAACAAGAAGCTAGTAGCGATCCTATTGCATAATTTTGAAGAAGAAAATATATCACAATTGTCCATCAAACCCTCTTACCCTGTTTCCTGTTTTTTAAACAAAAGTGACAGTAGTGACACTAGTGACAGCAGTCTATCAAATAAGAGTATTTGTGACAGTTATTATTAATTTCCTGATTGTAATGGATTCAACAAAATTTAAGTGATGTTTTGTTCCACATTCCACATAGCCAATTGCATAATCTCCATAAGACTCCCGAAGTGCACTATAATTTTCCGTAAATAAATAGGTATTTATATTTATTATTTATATTATAAATAAACACAACAAAATAATTCATTAAATATGTTAATACTTAGTTGACTGCTTTTATACCTCTGATTTCGCCAATATTAAAACGGTCGTCTCTTTTTAAAAATTCAATTCGTGATTATAAAAATATCAATTTTCGGTAAAATTTGCGAAGTAGCTTTCACAAATTCCGTTTCACACATACTGCTTTAATTCTAAGGAAGGAAGATATTAAATGATTATTACTAAATAATATTTTTACTTAATAAAGGAATTCAAAGATTAAGGAAAATAACTCGTAGACTTGAAAATATTTTATGCGACAATGTCACTGACAGGCTGACACTACTGACAGTGTTGACAGAGTATCTTCTTCCTCCAATTTTTTCCTTTACGCAATCATCTACACATAATTTCACTACAAGGTGCCCCTTATGACGTCACAGCCGTTTTGAAATATTATAAAAAAATCAGTTTTAAATAATTATTTTAAAACTGTTCTGACGCATTTCTCAATCTCTAATTGTGTATACACACTAATTAGTACGTGTAGAATTATATTATCTACTTTTTGAAATTTGGTCAACAACCCTATTGTCTTGAAATTTACTAAATGTTTCACAATAATAGTTGTTTACATTTTTTCCATAGGACAAGTCTGCCGCACGTACACGTGGTGTGCATCAGCTGTTGTCACGGTGTGATGAAACTTCCCTAATACTCGCAGTATTTTGAAAACTATTAACCTTACGCCAATATAATATACAACTTTTGTTCATTTATGATTACTCTATATCTCATGTTGAACTAATGGCAGTCAAACTTCTTACACCCTGTATTATTATGTAATTTTCAAATTAAAACTTTTCCTTTCCCTATGACATGACGTACTGCTTTTAATGTTTTAAAGAGTAATGTAATAGATCTTATGGATAAAACAAGTTATAAAATATTCTTTTTCCACTGACGCCAAAGATGAATCATATGACTACCCTAGCGACAAATAAAATAATTAATTACGCGAAAACTATTACAATTATTAAAAACTTACAAGAGTGAACACAATTACTTTTAGAATACCATCACCATCAGCGTCTGAGTGAAATGAGAGCAAATGTTTTATGAAAAAATTACTTATATTCTAAACATAGCATGCATACAAAATTACAAACATGACTAACCTTAGTTTCCACTGACACATCAGTTCCTTTTACATCTTCCTTTACCTCATTATCACTGCAAAATGGATTATTAGGATGGAATGGATTTACAGAATGAAAAGGATTCAACGTGCTTTCATCTAAATAATTAGTAAAAGGATTGAGATTCAATTTCTCTTTGTCGGAATTATTAACTTGACATATCTCCAATTTTCCATCGTTTTTTCCAAAGAATGTGACAGTGACCGGTGTCGGACATCTTTTCATTGCTTCCTTTTCTTCGTTTTTTTCTTTATTATTATCTACGTTATCAACATTTTTGGGCAATTTTAATACGGAACTGGTTATGATAGGAGGTAAACTCGGTGGACCACTGACAGATAAAGTTAATTTATCTCCACCCTAAATTCATACACAAACATGTAATCACAAAACAAAAGCAGTAGTTAATTACAATATATCTGCTTACCACTGAAATGAAAGTGGCAGCATTGAGCGATGTTTCCTCCTCTTTTGCTTGGACGAACATCTGATTGGTTAGTTTTTGGCTCTGAAGCTCTTCCTCTGCTTTTGCTAAAGAATTGTAAAATACATACATTTTGAAACAAAGAGTTCTGAAAAAAGGTGCTATAAATCAGAAGCTGGTAGAATGTCAGAAAACATGTCAGACTATAAGCCCATTGTCCTATTTTTTGAGTTTTATTATTTAATAAAGTTTTAAATGAAGATTTGAATACAAGAAAAATTAAATGTATATGGGTATGTGCATGTATGGAATTAAATAAGAAAATAGATAAATGAGAGGCTGCTAATTGCGAAAGATTATATGAAACAGGCACTCCTAGGAAAAAAGTTTTGTTTGTCTGTTACATTTGAAATAATGCATAAAAGCAAAAAAATTAAAGGGTCATAAGAATTTCCAAAATTTTTCCGTGATTTTTGACAGACTGTATTAGGTGAAAATGGTCGTATCGGGAATTAAAAAAAAAGCAAAAGCAAAGATCAAGATGACACTTCGCAGGGGTCTTCTGGGTATATCGAACTGTAAAAGTCATGCTGAACATTAGTCATTTTGTAAATATTTCTATAGTCTGTTTGGAAATGAAAGAGAGTAATAAAACCCCGAGATAAGAACCGGCCATGGGCGTGGTAATATTTCGTTTCAGGTAATTATCGGGTAACACTAATGCTAACAAAAATGACAGGGATTGGAAAATCGACTATCTACAGACTTTTAAAGGAAACAAAAAATGAACAAGATACTGTAAATCCCCCAAAATCATCTACAGGGAGGTCAAAAGTCGTTATAGATGATTTCTTCAAAAATGTCATTCGCAGAAAAGTACACTCATTTTATTTTAAAAAAGAAATACCAACGCTAAACAAAATTTTAAGTGAACTTTCAGAGGACAACGATTTGCCAAAAATCAGTAGAAGCAAATTATGGGCCGTCTTACGAGAGTTGAATTTTTGCTGGGAAAAGCAGAACAGGAAGTCAGTTCTTATCGATAAAGATGAAATTATTTGTTGGCGAAGATCCTACTTAAGATCAATTAGAAAATTCCGTGACGAAGGGAGGAATATTTATTATCTAGACGAAACTTGGGTCAACGAGGGATATACTGTAACAAAAGTATGGCAAGATAAAAATGTAAAAAGTTTTCGACAAGCATTTTTGGATGGACTTTCAACAGGGTTCAAGGCACCTTCAGGTAAAGGGCGAAGATTAATAGTGACACATATAGGTAGTGCCAGTGGTTTTGTAGATGGCGGTTTACTTTTATTTGAATCTAAAAATACAGGTGACTATCACGAAGACATGAACGCAGATGTTTTCGAAGAGTATTTTACACAGATGTTGGATCTTATTCCTCCGGGGTCTGTAATTGTCATGGATAATGCCAGTTACCATTCACGGCAGACCGAGCGGACGCCTACGACTGCTTGGAGGAAAGCCGATATAATTCAATGGTTATCCGGAAAAAACATTTCTTTTGAAACAAATATGGTGAAAAAGGAACTTTTGACACTTGTCAATCTTAATAAAGATCAGAAAAAATATGTTATCGATGAAATGGCAACAAATCGCCAAATAACGGTACTACGGTTACCACCTTATCACTGTGAACTTAACCCAATCGAATTAGTCTGGGCGCAGGTAAAAGGAGATGTAGCGCGAAATAATACGACGTTTAAATTAAGTGACGTGAAAATTTTGTTAAAAAATTCCTTGGAACGAGTAACTGCAGATAACTGGCAAAGATGTATACATCATGTACAAAAAGAAGAGGAGAAAATGTGGGAACTCGATAATTTAATTGACGTTACTGTGGAACCTATCGTTATCAATCTAGGAGACGAAGATAATTCATCAGAATATTCAGAGGATGAATTTTAATATACCTACTTTTTTATTTTCTTTATTGTACATTTATACAACACTACATTTACTCACCATAATTTGAATTTTCAAAATACATATATTTTTGTGTGGAATAAAAGTCTATTCATTAAATTTAAATAAATATTTTGATAATAATATTGAATAATTTTATTTGAATTACTAAAAACCCTCTTAACCCGGTTAAGATGCTTAAAGTGGCCTCATGTTTTGAAATGCTGTTTTTATATTGTTTACTTATAAGAGAAATGGGCCGAGAAATTGAAGCGGTATAGAGAAAGACAGATTGTTGGGGATTAAATTTTAGCTACCTGCTACATTTTAGTACAGTCCGATTGCACAAAGTTTTGTTAAAAGTACACCTCATCTATACTGATAAAACATAATATAAAAATATTGAATATAAGCACCAGTACTACATTTATTTACTATTTGCATACATAATGAGCTTTTATTACTCTCTTTCATTTCTAAACAGACTATAATTTAGCCGCCAATTTTCTAAAAAACCATAAATTAACCTTTTTTTCCTGTTTCTTAAAATTCGTGTAAAAGATGAAAAAAAATTTTCTTTAAGAAAAGTTGCGACAGCATGTTCGTGGACTAGGTGACATAACCCAAATTATTTTTGCCAATTTTTTTCTCAACAACTTTTATTAATGGTATATTGTTACATTAGGATTAAAAGTGTTGTGTGACAACTATTTTGACCTCTTATATTTATTAAAATGGTTGATATTCGAGAAGAGCATGTGGCATTGAAATTTTATTTTCTGCTCGGTAAAAATGCACCGGGAGCAGTTGACATGTTGTCAACAGGTCATAAAGAATATGCCTTGAAATGAACTCAAATCTATGAGTGGTATTTGTGATTCAAACGCGACGACATGGCGATCGAAGACATTCAATGGCTGGGTCGACTTTCCACATCCAGAACTGATAAAAATGTGAAAAGGAAATAAAATTGCTGGCTTTCGTGGAGCTCAATGTAACGCATTTTAGTCGAGAATTGCAGCAAAAGTCGTCCTCCATTTGTTAGCCTCTGATAAAAAAAGCCGAATCCTGTTGCTGTGTGGCGTAACTTGTTGGACCACTTGGAAGTAGACAAGAACTTTTTTGACAAAATCACCACTGGGATGATTAATGGTGTTATGGGTATGACCTCAAAACAAGTCAGCAATCGTCAAGTTAAATCAGCCGTGAAAACAATGTTGAAATGTTTTTTCAGCGTTTGTAGCATTGTGCACCCAGAGTTTGTCCCTAAACATCAAACAGCGAACCAGGTCTTCTCCCTGAGTGCATTTTTAGCAATTTTAACAGTTCTTTCTTTAAATGAAATTTTATAGTATGTGACACAATGCAGAAAACTTAAAATTATTTCTTAAAAGGCAATGATCACAGCTAGCTACCGCTATAACATGATGACTCACAAGACGTAGGTAATATACAAAAAACAATATTTGTATTCTGTTTCTACCATCTCTGTATAAATAACACATTTTATTCAAAACACACTGTACAATATCGGTGAAAGAAACTGTATGCAAGAATTATATATTTTTTTATCATTCCATTAGGAAGAAATTCACCAAAGCATTAAAACTCTATACTATAAGATCTATGACTGAAAATCCCTAAATTAGTCAACAAGCAAGATGTTAGAAACAAATAAGCGGTAAAGCATAAAAATTATTGCGCAAAAAGTTCACCACCTGAGAAATGGAAATGTTGGACATTGGATTCTATACTATCGAGTAGTTAATCAACTGGCCTGAAAAGAAATCCACATCAAAATCTTAAAAAAAGAACAGACAGACACATGCAACAATAAAATTTGTGTTAAATTACTGTTCTTAATTAAAATTACCCAAACCGAAATGGATTTTCTTCAACTTACAATTAGGAATTGAGACATGTTAACATATTTTGTTGCTTACCTTTCAAAATATTACACTTTATTTGTCCTGGTGGTAATGGTTTTGCTATGCCGGAGATTTTAGAAATGTTATTTGGTATTTCTGCAGGTAAAGACTTTGACCCACAATCAAGTTCTGATTCTAAGGAATCCAAGAAAATTAGTACAACAATTACTATTAATGAAAAAAAAAAAAAAAACCACCTTCTAGTTTGTTGATTTCATTTCTTTTCTCGTCTCTGTTAAAGCCGCAGAGTGACTCCTTGGCCAGACTTTTAAACAAAAAGTCTAACTGGCTGTCAGTATTCGAGGGTGTTGGGCTGATGGGTGGTAAAGAATCAGTTGATGTGGTAGACATGTTCCGCGGTACGCACAGAACAGGACTGAAAAGGAAGAACATATAAGCAGGGTTGACATAAGTAAAAGTACAACTACTAAATATTAGTAACTATTATTTTGTATACAGGGTGATTCACATATTATCCAAAAAAATTTGGGAATAGATGCGGTGTGATGCGTGTGCGGTGTGAGTCAATATCGTAAAAAAAGTTTTTTTCTAAAATCCGAGAAAAAAATTATTGAAGTTCTAGTACATTCAACCATTACATAGTTGGATACCTAGTCTCTAGCGTCATTCGCCATACGCGTGGAGAGCCACGTGGCCTCAGCGACTCCGAATACTGAAATCCGATTTTACAATCGTCGTCGTTGTGATAGTGTTTACAATAGTTTTTTAGTAGTTAGTGTCAAAAATGGTTTGCATTTTCTAGCTCCTCGGAGTTGACGGATATCGTTTTAATTTATGGTGAAGCAAGACAACATTTGTGTTTACACGTCGGTGGATAAAATTTTGTACAGTTGTAATACCAGGTATTTCAAATTATTTTATTATTTAAAACCACAAATTAAATTTATTAATTAATAATAACAATAACGGTAAAATTAGTTGAATTTGATCAGGTTTTACAGTGGACCAGTTTCCAGTGCCGTGCAGAAGCATATTTTTAAATCATTTTCGAACTGCCCTTTTTGATTTTTTCTTTACAAAATTGTATTTGTAAGGGTCTCCTATATGTCCAAAAATTATTTTTTTTGGAGAAGTTCTGAATCACCCTGTATATTTAATATTTTTACAAAACCATAAACATGTATATGATGTGTGTCCACGAATGGAGTTAGTAGACACGAGAAATTCATGTACAGCAGCTAACCTTTTTTCAACATTTGACTTGTACAGGGTACCCGCAATTGTCTAAGCCATATAAGTTAAGGAGGATCAATTTCGTATTATTGAGATATATTATTTTTGCAATGCGAAATCAAATTCTGTGAATTATTATTCTTGAATTATTTACTGATTTGTTTTTGTTTTTAATTAACCCTTTCGCTGCGCAATACGTCTGAACTACCGCGCCGTGCGCGAAAGTTTATCGCGTGCGAATATATACATCTGGAGCAGTTAGACCACTTATAGTTTTACATTATGTTGTGTTAAATTACGGTTTACGATAAATTTTACGATTTTATTTTGAATAAAATACAGTATATGTACTAAATAGAAACTGAAAGAAACATGAACAATCTTGGTATTATTACCAGTACCTCTTTCCATAAAAATATTTGTCACAATCGGTATAAGCTCGCCCGCAAAAATTCGCCTTACCAATTGCAATAACCGAGTCACTAATGCGCATGGTTGGGAATATATACAGTTTGAGCAGCCTGATCCAATTTAACTATTCATGCGAATTAATCCGTCTGGAGCAGTTTGAGCCCTATAAATGTTTAGCGAATATATACGTTTGAAGCAGTGAAAGGGTTAATGCCAAAAATGTGAATATTTAACATAGGTTCTTATGGGAAATGCTACGATGCATACTTTTACAATCGAATAACGGGCAAAAAAAAATGTAAATGGTAAGACGAAAAAATAGGTAGCGGGAAATTAAAAAAAACGTTTCGATACACAAATTAGTCATTAAAAATGGATTAAATTCAACTTGTGTTTATTTGTGTAATTCAATTTGGAACAATAATATAAAATGGGATATTTTCAAATGAAATATGTTTCTTGAAATCTTTTTTTATTTATAAAGTACGATAAACTTTCAATACAAGAAGTAAAAATATAGCATCATATAAACAATGAAATATTTATACTTTGCATCACAGCTTATATAACAATCTTATGCATTTCGACATATTATGACAATTTTAATATCAATTTTTCATTTTAAAAACAACATTTCAATAATTTCGGTATATTTTTTAGAATATTTTTAGCAATAACATTTTATCACAGTATAATACTACATATACCAAATTGTATTATACTTTCATAAATGCAATCGCTTTAAATCCTTGTCTTATAAGGAACATTTGTATTCACAGAAGTGCAACATAGAAGTATGCTACTCATGCATGTAACTAAATCATATTTAAACCTTTCCAAGTGTATCATTTTGTGATCACAGTATGTAGATAATTTAAAATACATAAAAGTTCTTTGCAAAAAGAGCAATGTATGCTTTGTGCCACTCTGTCGATGCGCTCGAACGGTGTGCGGAGGCTCTGGCTCCACAATCTTCTCTTCAACAGCCTCTTCTTTTGCTATTTTCTATTCTAATTCTCAAGGACTCATACTTTCTTTTGGTCACAAATTTTCCTTTCTACCGACTCTGTTCTTCATCCGACATTTTATAGGTTAAAGTAATCGGCTGTGCGAGCGATCACATAGCATAATGTCTATATACATGACAAGGACTGCCAACTTACAAATAATAAACTCAGCATACTCGTGCGCTGTTGTCACATTTCTGTTGCAACATTTCACATTTATTTCTGCATATTGGGTAAAAAATAATAATTGTGGAATAGAAATATATAATTTTAAGTATTTTAAACTCGATTTTATTCAATATCTACAAGCAAGTATCTGTTGCGTTTGTGGACTGTATGACCAAATTAAAGAGAAAAAAAAATTGCGAAGGTGAAGTTGCACACTTACCCCTTAATTGCAGCAACAACACCAATCACCAAGAAGGCACCAAAATAAAAATCAAAAGCGTGACGAGCGGCGAATCTATCGTCTTGCGTGTACTTCTCGGAATCGAATGGTTCACTCGCGGACAGGGTCTTCGGTCCAACCTCACACCTTTATTTTTCCGCGAGTTTTAATATTAAAAATAAAAGTGTCGCTAATTGTACAGATTAAGTCTAACTTAAAAACTAATTAATCGGCAGGACGCACCAGTATCTCAATCTAGTTACTTTCTAGTCATAGAGAATATTTTTCTTTGCATTGACAGCAATGATTTTACAACACGGTAAGTATAGGCCCCCCCGAGTTCTGCTTCACCCCCTTCCCCCCAAATGAAGCACCCGATCCTCCTTAATAGCAATAAAAAAATTAGTTGAAATTTTGGACACAATCATTATATTTCACATTATATTAAAAAGTGATTTGTAACATATTTTTACGTCTAAAAAATTAAGTTCATTGGTCTCACCAGGAGAAGAAAAAAATTCTGTGAAGCTAAAGTATTGTTTTGGTATAAAACATCAACTACTTTAAGACAATTAAATTTATATTTATGTAATAAATTTCAACATAATCCATCAACTTTGATGTTTTTTATTTGATCATCATTGATTTGTAACGTCAGAACTCAGAACCGATTGTCGCCTAATGTGGCTCATCACGCACATAATTTTAATACAGTTATTAAAAACTTCCAAATAAAATTTTTCAATATCATCATAAGAGTCCACACAGGAATACACAAGTATCAATTTCTAGGTAGTGGACGATTAATTCAGTGTACTTTTAATGGAACAAAGACAAGTAAAATATCTTCCCATACATAATATATGTATAATCCTCTAAGTTTAAAAGTGCAGTGAATATTCTGATTGCACATCACCATCATCAGCATCTGGTATACCATTGAGATAAATATTCATAATATATAAAAATAAATAGGTATTAAAAATACTTATAATTTCTTCCAAAGCTTAAAACAGGATGAAAAAATGATAACCATACCGCAAAGTGACATAAATATGCTGCAAAGATTCTCTACACAGTTCTATTGTTGTAAATGTATGCACAAAATATTAGTTGAAATTAGCCGCAATTCATGTAGTACATTAGAGATGGGCAATACAGATCCTTCTAATGATTCATACGATCCGAAATGTATCGATACAAAGATCCCCATCAAGGAATCACATTTCGTGCTGCATGCAGATAATAACTGGCAAGCTGGTATTGTAGATGTGGATGTGTATGCTTACTCTTTCTCTATACCTCGTGTCTCGTTCTCTGTCCCCTCTCATTCTAATATGATAGAAATGTTGGAGCAGTCGGTGATTGAATTCACAGTTTGCATTGCCTGTTTCGTGATATTTATTCATTAATCTAATTTTAGGCAGATACTTGTTACTGAACTGCAGTAAGATGTAACTATGAGCTCTAATAGAACATACAATATTTGGGCTCACTTCGAGAAGGCAAGACACAACTTACAAGCCAAATGTAATTATTTTCAATCAAAGGAGGTTCAACACAGGATTTATGCGATTTATACGAAGCATCCCACAACAGTGTAGTGAAAAGAATTGAGAATTGAGAACACAAATGACTTGCAGACTAAAACGAATAATGCCAGTACTTCTGCTGCAGGTAACTTTTCAAATCCATGTAAAAAATTAAAATATAGTCAGCAGGTTCTCGCAGACAATACTTTTATCCACAGACCTTTGTCGCAAAATAAAAGTACAAAGTGTAGTAGCCAGGTTTGAAACTGCTGCCTGATCTGGCCTGGTGGTGGCTTTAGGCACTAGAACGGTCGTGCGAATGTGTAGCGACGGAAGCAAACACGATGTAGTTACGTTATGTTTTCGTTATGGTATGGTTACGTTTTTGTAAACTTGCTAGAATGCTTAAGTAGTGTGCAGAATAAAAGTGTTTGGAGATCGAACGAAAGACTTTAATTTAAACCAAATTCATCGTCCCACGGCGCTCCAACTCCTACAAAAGTTAGATTTTCAGTTAGTGAAAATGATAGCTTCTGAGTATTAACCTCTAATATTGTTGCAAATAGACAATTCCAAATATTTGTACAAATGTTAAATCCGAATTATGCACTGCCTTTGCAGAGAACAATTTCGAATATTTTACCACAATTATATCACAAAGTATCTGATGAAGTTAGAAAACAAATACATTCATCTGTTTCTATAACTATGGATGATTAGACATATTTGAACAATGATAGGTGTTTGTTACTGTTCATTTCATAGAGGACATAGACTGTGAAATGAAATCGTTTCTATTAAACTGATTCCAATACACCAAAAGGCACACAGCAAGAAAACTAGC